GGCCCACCTCTCAAGCCTGTCAAGGTCCCTCTGGATGGCATCTCTTCCCTCCAGCATGTTGACCACACCACACTGGTTGGTGTCATTGGCAAACTTGCTGAGAGTGCACTCAATCCCACTGTCCATGTTGCCAACAAAGGTGTTAAACAGCGCCAGTCCCAATACCGACCCCTGAGGAACACCACTCGTCACTGGTCTCCACTTGGACATCGAGTCGTTGACCACAACTCTTTGAGTGCAACCATCCAGCCAATTCCTTATCCACTGAATGGTCCATCTGTCAAATCCATGTCTCTCCAATTTAGAGACAAGGATATAATGCGGGACATTGTTCTTTTCTATTGTAGTATACCAAGGTGTGTATTGTAAAGCCAGTATCAGAAACTGTATTGTGTTTTTGTCTGGAGTTTTTGTACCTGGCAGCATATTCCTTATTTGTATTAAAGTAGTGTCGATTAGTCACACTGGGGCTAGATGATAAGTAAGGCACATAGTACAGGAGATCCATGTCTGGAGAGCTTATAGCCCAAATAGACAAGCTGGGTGAAGCGGGGCAAGAGGCACAGGAAAGTGAAGGGAAGGGTCTTGCCGGTACTCACCCAGTGTCAGTAGAACAGAGCTCAGCTCCTTTGGCTCCCTGTGCTGAGCCAGGTTTCCTGTCACGTGCTAAATTATAGGTAGTTGAAAATCTTGTGCGTTTGTTTGGGCAGTCAGTGCTAAGCTAACACATTTGTCAAAAATTAGTATGTGATATCAAGAACTATCTTCAGCTCTTTTCACTGAACAAAAAAGAGAAGACAAAGAACCTGAGGAATAAACAAGTGCAAACCCTTCTGCAGACTCTTGAATCTATTCCATGTTTGCTTGGTAAAACAGCACCAGACACTTTGCAGGTTTCGAAGTGAGGGAAGGATTTGTCCCATTATGTGGAATTTAGAGAAATGGCATGTTTTGCTTTACAATTTGCATGTGCAAAAATAAAAAAGTACTAAATTATAGTTCTTAGAGCAACTTTTCAGAGGCACTATGTGCTTATATTACATGTTGAAACAATCACTGTATATTGCAGTACAGGTAGTACAAAGAGCCAAGTATTAGCTTACTGTTGGTTTGAAAATGGTGACTTTGGATAAGATACTCGTATAATAATGTTTGCATGATACCAGTTATCTATCAGACTGTATTTCTGACCTGCACCTCCCAGGAAACGAATACTTACTCCGGTGCAAAATTTCTTATTTTGTGAAGCCAAACGCTTTACAACTTCATCTGAGATCACTCTAAGCCAGTTGGCCCTCACTTAAATATTCATCAGACTTCTGATAATTGTGATAACCCTTATAGGCTGGCAAGCATGGCAAATTAGCAGAAAGATGATTGATCTTTTTTTATATGCAGTTTTATCTTCAACCTTTCCTGGATATATGTTATACTATAGTAATAATTTCTTCTCTAAGCTATTTGCCAGTATCTGGATTTGCACATCTATTTACAGTTGCCTTGAAGCCTCATAATTACAATACAGCTGAAATGTCCATTTTCTTTCCCTGACTACAAATAGGGATCAATCGAATTTTAAATGACTGCTTACGGGCTAGCTTCCGATCATGACCTTTGTAAATGATTAGAGCTCACCACTGTTGCTATCTACCTTGAAAGGGTAAGCGGGCAGGTCTGTCTAACTGGCATTTAATCTGGAAGAGAGCCAAAGATATTTGAGCTAAAAATCTAATATGAGTTGGCAAAGAGAAGTATGTATAGACCTTTGCACTATTATTTAGATATTTTTCCACATTTCTTTTTTGTATTTAGGAAATTCTTTTATCCTGTAGATAAACGGGATGTGTATTTGTAGATTATTTTGTATTGAAGTTATGATAATAACTGAAGTTGCAAATATATAGCATAAAAATGTGAAAAAATGGGTTTTCAAACTCTAAAGGTAGTGAATTTTCTTTTTCTGAAGAACGTGAAAGTATGTTGCGTTTCTAAATGAATAAACCTGAAAACTGCACTAAATAGCATGCATGAAGCGGACCTGCTTTTTCTAGGCAGAAGTGAATGGAGAAAAGATACCATACATTGGTACTTTTTTGTTTAAACCTCCTTTCCTGTTAACATTGACCAAGATAGTTCAGGTCTCTCTTGTACATGCAGCTCCCATGTAATTAATGGCTGAGACACTTCTATCTACACTTGTCAGTTCAGTTATATTTTAATGAAGAATTGTGCCTGTATCATACAATGTTTTTATTACCACTACTGAATTTCTTGAGGTAGTGTTCTGTGCGTTTCTGTTGAAGTGGGAACAAGTATGACATCAAGAAGATTAGAAAACAAACACCTCCTCTGAATTTATTGAAAGATTTTGCAAACCCAAAGTTTTGAAATCAATAAGAATGATTACTAAGAGCTATGAATGCTTTTATCTAATTAAAATTGTATGCTGCATTACCTAATCAATTATTCTTGTGTAGTATTGATGATCAGAATATTTATTAAAGTAATATTGTTCATGGGAACATGTCTCTTACCATTAACTCTCTAAAAGGGTTATACAGTTTATAATGAGTATGCAATCTTCACCTCTTCATCATGTGGTGCTCAGAGTATTTTCTCTTATTTTCTGTAGCATGCTACACTGTTATGTAATGCAGCTGGCAGGTTGTTTTCTTAGCCTCAAACTAGTTAAATGTGTTGTTACCTAAATCCTAATCTCAGAAGGCAGTTGTAAATTCAGTTTGTAGTGGTTTTGTGTCAGGATTACCTTCTGCTAATGTTTAGATATATGTGTTTTATTCATTTAGATATGAATTTTTTTGGAAGCAAATATCAAGTATATTTGAAATATTCAAAGTAAAACTAAGATGAAAGAAAATGTTTGAGATTTTTTTGAGGATTTGAATTGGTATTTACACTCTTCACATAAATCTTAAACTGGAGGTGTGTAGTTAGTATATAGTGTGTAAGGATGGAGTTCTCAAAAACAATTAAGTTATTTGGAAGCAAAAATCCTGTGGAAAGTCAAGAGAAGTTCTCTCTTCTTTATTTTTAAGGGTAAGGATGGAGTTTTCAAAAACAATTAAGTTATTTGGAAGCAAAAATCCTGTGGAAAGTCAAGAGAAGTTCTCTATCTTCTTTATTACTCTACTGTAAGACTGTAAGGCTGCATGCTTGAGCTCCTAAAATGGTATTTCTAGGAACAGCAAATTACTATTAGAGATTGCTCATGTGTGATTTTTTACCTAATGCTTGCAAGTCTGAGAATAACTTTTTGAAATGACAACAGAATAAAAACTAAACAGAGTTTTTTTTCCTCTCTCTAATAGATGCAGCAACAAGAACTTGCACAAATGAGGCAGAGGGATGCCAATCTAACTGCATTGGCAGCTATCGGTCCCCGGAAGAAACGGAAGCTTGATTCACCTGGACTGCTTACCATAGGAGGAGAGGTATATGTCTATACACAGAATAAGAGAATTGATTATTTCAAAACCTAGATGGAATAACTAGAGATGCTACATGCCAGTATTTTCAGTGAACTATGTAACTTAGAAAAGGTGATACAAATTACTAAATTCAAAGGACTGAGTCCAGTTTATCTTACTTTGCCACAGTTAAAATGACATTTTCTCTTAGTTTTATTTTTCAAGTGTTCACTTTTAAACAGATATTTAAAGAATATTTTTAAAAGAAGTTAAACCTGAAGCATAGGTCTCTCCCTAAAAATGCTCACTGCCTTTATACTGGTTTTCTCCTTTGCATAATCCAAAGGAAAACAGAAAAAAGACTAGGGCATGAAGCAATATCCTGAAAAATGTAACTGTAGCGTTGCTTAGTTTGGACCAAGAGCTTGTAGTAATACCAGTAAGTGTGTTTTTGTGACGAGTATGTGTCAAAACTTTTTACAGAATGGCTGGTTGTCCCCTGCAACTGCAAAAATGAGTTTGTAATCATTCTAAATTTTATGTCATTTTAATAGAATACTGTGCTCTAGAATTAGAATCAGATTTGTTAGTGTGATTCTCCTGTTACCTTAAATGAAGAAGTAGCTATACTACACAATGCAATGCAAAATCCTCAAAAGCAGGACATATATTAACCAAGGTGGAGAACTAAGGTAACATGGCTGCATTACCTTGGATAACTCTTAGAGAATACTGTGTTATTTAATACAGATACAGTTGGGTTTCTTTTGTTTCTGCTAAATATGCCTACACAATAGGAGTCAAAGTAATTCTCCCTATTATATGTCTGTTCTGAGGAAAATGCAAACATTTTGTTTTGAATGAACTGACTAACAGTTTTGGCTCAGACATTTGACTATCTAAATGCCAGGCATTTCCAAAGGCCTTTTTGTTTCCCATTTTGGATAGCTTTTATCTGACTTCTCGCTCTCTTTTCATGTGCTAAGATTAGTGCTAAGGAACGAGCTGAGCTAGGAATAGAAGTGGATCTTTTTTACATTCTAAAGTTGACTTATGACTTCAGATGTGTAGGAGGTGCTCCCGTTTTCTGGTCAAATTAGTTTCAGACTGAGGGAGCTTTCTGGGTTTTGTGTTGTCCTGTTACGTTCCTTTCCTTTCAGTCTCCCTCCTTGTCTTACATTCAGTAAAGCGTTCTGTTCTCCTCCATATGCACCTGTAATAAATCCTGCAGCAACAGGCCAAAAGAAGCTTTCATCAGAAGCTCAGTTGGATAGTGATAGCATTGGCTTTCACACAAGATTCATTTAAAAATAATTTGAACCTTTTAATAATACATGGATCCCTTCAGATTTTAAGAGATGTACATTCCCCGCTTGTCTTTACTTGACCAAAGGAATATTTTTTCCTAAGTATCAGAATTTACTTTTTACTGTCTATTGCCGCTTTTAAAAAACGATCCTTTTTTAAGCTTTTGTAGTTTGATGAACCAAATTGTGGTCACCTTTGGTGAAACATCTTATTCAGAGCTATATGCCTGAATGGATTTATGGTGAACAGCTTCCTCTCTCTCTAGAAGCTCTTTAATCTCCTGGTACACTGCTTCAAGGAAAGATAAAGGTCTGTGGCAAATTCCAAAGGCTTCGGGAGATTTTTGCCTCCTTTTGTTGCTCCCCTAGCCCAAATTTTGCTGAGCTTCTGTGTTATTCAATTGACAAATTATCCTTGAAGTTTTTGCCGATACATGGATTTCCTGGAGTCATGAATTGTGTGGATATTCTGCCAGTTCAGACTGAATTGCTCCCATAGCTCTCCTCCTAGCTTCTAACCATCCTGGCCAACTCACGTTGGTGCCTGGCTGCAAGCTGATTTCAAGGACTTGGATACTATATCTGGATTATTCAGTGTCTTTTCTGGGGATAGGATCTAAAGCATTGTAGAAGCTGTGTCATGCAGGTTGGCTGCTAGAAACTCTCTCCTTCTGTTATTCTTCTGAGCTACTCATTAGGGCTGCGATGCAGAAGTAAACTCAGCTCCTCCAAAATGTTTCACTTTAAAAAGGTACTGGAAATTTGCATTGTTTGTCTAAGACTATCTGATTTCTCTTCTTTGGATTTCTGGAGATTATAAACAACATAGAAAACTATTATAAGACTACGTCCTGTCTTACAGACATCCCCTTAGCCCAACTCCACCTTCAGATGTCTGATTTCCACCATGGTCTATGACCCTCTGATTTCCCTAAGCAATTTCTGAGCTTCTTAAGTCCTTGCTTCTGATAATCTCTGTCTGCAAGGTCTGATTTGGGAAGAGCTTTCTTGGCCCTTTTGTTTTTTGTCAAAACGTCCGGTTTTTGTCACTGAAGTTGCTGGTCTCCTCATTAATCTTTTTTGATATATATGTCTGCTTTTGTTGCAGCTGGGACACTGCACATTTGCTGATCCAAAGAGATATCATTTACAAATCATCCTACCCCTGCATGTTACATTTTTTTCCTTTTCTGAATTAACTCTTGTTTGGTATTTTATTTAGTTGCATTGGCCATTTTTTTCATTGAGAAGTGTTGGATTTCAGTCCAACTTCTCGGTTCAACAGAAATACTAGCTCACGATTTCTCTTTGGAAATTTGACCTTTTTAATAATACCCTTTTGATCTGAGCAGGAGGTCAATTTAGGGAATAGTGATGGTTATTTTGCTTAAGAGAAAAAGTTGATGGAAAAGCTTGGTGTTTCTGTGATCAAGTAAAGGCCAGGCCCGTCATTTGCCTCTTCTGTACTAGTATGGCTGGTTTGTTTGATTACTTTTACCTGGGGAGATGGAAAATTAGCAGTTTTGAGGTGAGGTTATTTTTCCATCATGTATGTTCTTTGATTTGCTTCTCCATGCAGCCATATTAAAAATTCCTTTCCAAAAAATGGGACAAAAGATTTTATAGAGAAGTTGATGAGCAGGGGCGAGACGTCCTCAAATAATACTGCCACCAAATGTGTAACTAGTTTCAGACTGGATTACACAGTAGCCTGAGCTAATCTGACTGATCTCTGTCCCAATCCCTAGTAGTGCATTCCTGACCCTTCCCTTTCATTGGCTCTGGCTCGTCATACCCTGTGCTAACCCATTTCCATTTGATAAATTGGCAGAAAACTAACCTAACAACAATAAAAAGTGAATAGTTTCCCCTTAGTTTGCTGAAGTAGTTTGGCCTAGAGCCCAGTGAGCACTGGAAAATGAACATACAACAAGGCAGGGGCAGCAAACTTGAGATCACCTGCTCTTCATTCACTTTCTTTTTTAGTATCTTCTTTTCTTGTATTTTAGATAATCTGCTAGAAACACAGCTTCCTCTGTAGCAGACAGCAGCTCATCTGTAATTCAGCCTGCTCATTATTATAAAGCAGTTTAGATCAAGAGTGAAAGAGAAGGGGTAAAGAGAAACGAGATACCTTTGGAAGAATTCAGCTTCTCTGCGTTGCAGAGTTGAAAATACTGCATTTGCAGAATTTTAGGTTTTTACATTTATTTAATGATACTAGACAAAATTGTTGGAAAATATCTTTTAAATGTTACTGCTTTTTGGAATTTAATGTATGGTCATCAAGTTAGGTATCTAACTCCTGAACCATGTTATGCATGTAGCAGCAGTACTGCCTAATTCTTATTTGCTGTGTGGGTCCTGTTAATGCTTGTGTTGGTACACAGCAGTGGATGGTGAAGGTAGGGCAGTGGATGATATATACAGGAAAGGGAGGACAGCAACCCCTTGAGCTCTTTAGTTAGTATCCTTAAGCACCTCTAATGTCAGATTAAAAAGAACAAATTTTGAGTTGCTTTTGTTTACCTTATAGATTTTGAATCTATTCACATTTTCAAGCTTTTTTCTTGAATTGTAAGGCTTTTAAGAATTAGGATTAAAAATTGTTTTTGTTTATGAAATAGATATTTTCATGTAATTATAAGAGTTAAAGCTTTAAGAAAAGCATTAACCACCACAAGACTAGGTCAGGTAACTTTACAAGTTAAATATTTGAGTAGTGCTAAGGTGGCAAGAATGCAGAATTTGCATATTTCAAAGTCCCTCATTTTTTACTATGGAATTAAAGTGTAGAGGTTAAATGCAAGTATTTTTCTGTATTTAAGAATAATAATAATTAAATAATTTGGCTTTTCATCAAGACCTATGGCTAGTATCCCAAAATACATAAATATAGAGTATATGTTTGAAATATCTGAGGGTATAATTTGTTTAAATATCAAGTGAAAGCCCTCTCCTGGTACTTGCTGGCACAGATGGTTTTTGAATACTGAGCTTCCAAAGGCAGCCTCAGGGCTAGTTCAGTGAATCACCGCTTATTGAAGACAGTCATTTTAGGGAGAAGAAAAAACCCTCTTTCTCACATAGTGGAAGAGCAGTCATCTTAAGAATATTCAGTAGACTATCCCAAACACCATCTTCCACAATTTGCAGGATCATATGTTGGGCCAGCGCTCAAGGGAGATCTGGTATTTTGTGTCTTTTCTCATCCAGTGTATTCCAACCATTATATTAGTCAAGAAAGATAATGTTCTTGCAGACCTGAAAAGTCCCAAAACAACTACACTTAAGACAGTGATGTTTTGTGTAGAGAAAACCTAATTACTAAAGTGATTGTGAAACGTATTTTGGGTATGAGGCACCACATTTTTTTAATTAAACTCATCTTTCAGATGGTATAATTTGAACATTTTAAAGCTGTTTTCATGCTAAGGTTTTGTATAAAATATGATTAAGATTCTGGTTTCAGACCTGGAAATCCATGTTATACCAGGGACTTCCAAATGCAGACATAGAAAAGTTACTTAATATTCCTCTCTATCAGATCTTTATTCTACTAGTAATTCCTAATTTCTAAGTGGAAATGTAAGGATTAATTCATTATTATTTGGGGAGATACTTGGGTGCTATGACATAGTTGGAAAAAAGTACTTTTGACTACAGCCTCTTTTTAGTTATCCAGGACTGAATGTGATTAATTTGTTTGCACACATT